TGAAAAATGTATTATTTCAAGTAGTAAATAAAAATTAAAGACAGAATAATGCAAACAATTACCAATGATAAGACACTAATGTATGTATGCCAGTGAATGTTATGTAGGATGAGATGCAATTTTAAAGTTGGGTTCTTAGGTATAATGAGACCACATCGACTCTCTAACATCTAAGCAAAGCTTAGGTGCGACTGTTTATATTTAAGATCCCAATTTATTATTATACTTTTTATTTATTAATTTTATTATTAATGTGAATTAAGAACTCGTGTGAAAAAACTTAACGAAGTAAAGTTTTCTAAACACCCTATCATTTAGGCGGCATTTGAGAATAAATTACTTCAAATGAGATTTTCACACGTGTTCTTAAGATTTTCAGAATGTTTTGAGTAAGGCTTGAGTAGAGGTTTTAAAGGTTAAGGTTTCAAGATTTTGAAGATTCGGATTTTAGGATTTTGGGTTAAGTTTTGAGGGTTTTAGGATTTGGTTTTAAGGTTTAGAGGGTCTTAAGGCTTGGATTTTAGGGTATGGAAGGTTTAGGATTTTGATTTTAGAGTTTGGAGATTTTAAGATTTTGGTTTTAAAATTTGAGGTTTGGGCTTTTGATTTAAGGGTTTGGATTTTGGGAATTTTGGGTTTTGGGGTTTGGATTTAAAGGTTAGGAAGTTTTAGGATTTTGAAATTTAAGAATTAGCGTTTAAAGTTTCATTTTGTTAAGAAAAAGCAAACATCTCTAAAAATCCCCAACATCTAGGCTGATTTTCGGAGCAAGTTCGATTTTAGTGATTTTTGAAAATTAATTAAAAATTTCTTATATATATTTTTTTATGAAAATTTATTAATAATAATTTCTCAACATCTAGGCGAAATTATTTTTAGGAATATGTTTTATTCCCTCCAACATCTAGGTAGGAAAAATAATAAAATTTTATTATTATTATTATTATATATTATTATTTTTTAAAGCATTTTTAATTATTTTCTTACTTATTTTCATTTTTATTATTATTAAAACAATTAAATATTTATCCTAACAAACTTAAAAATTCATCATGCATAAATATAAAAAAAATACTCAAAATAACAAAAATAATAATATATATAAAAAAAATAAAAAAATTTTTTTTTTACCTGAATCGGACTAGTCAATGGCGATTCGATTGGATCGAAAAGAGTTCGGTTCGACGTACGGCTCAGTTGAGCCAGCTAAGGAACGGTTCAGTCTGGTCTGGTCAAACCGATTCAAAGCTACTGAGGAGCCAGGTTGTAGGGTATGTTGCGTGGATCCCAGGTCGAGTCCGGGTCAACGCGCAGATCTTCATTTACTAAAACAACGTCGTTTTGGCCTTTAGGCCTCTATATATAACTAAAAAATTTTTTGTTCATTCTTTTCTGTTTCAGAAAAAAAAAATGTTAGAGCTATAGGGGAGAGCTCCAGAGCTTTCGTCGTTCGGTCGTCGGACCATCGCCTAGGTCATCGCCGACCATCGCTGCCAGTAGTTTTCGATCGCTGAAAAACGTCACAATTCTTCTGAAAGCTCTTTTCAACGTTCTCTTTTCAGATCTGGTTTCTTTTCATCAGAAACAGCTTCGATTGTCGTAGATCGAGGCTCAAAGTTTTTGAGTTTTCTGTTTTCTTTTTTTTTTTTTTTTTGAAAACCCGCACTGATAGTCTCTTTTCTTTGTTGCGAAAAAACTTGGCGTTGAGGTTCTTCCTATGGGGAAGACTGTGTTGTTTTTTTGGTTTTTCTATTTAGGTGTTGGGGGTTGTTTGCGGTTTTTTGGTGAGGGATTTGGTGAGAGTGAAAAAGATCAGGTTTCTGGGTGTTTGTGTTTTTAGCTTCTGTCTTAGAGGGTTTTTTCTTCTTTTTTTTTTTTCTTGAAAAAAATGAGCTGGGGCTTTTAAAGAGCTTCAAAGAAAGGGACGAATGGTGGTTGTAAGAATGGCAAGGTGGCTGGATAAGGGGCTGGTCGGGGGTTGATAGGGCGGTAACGACATCGTATTGGCCCTCTATTTTCTGTTTTTTTTTATTATTATATTATTAATAATATTTTTTAAATATATTTTATTATTATCATTATTAAAATTATTATTGTTATTATACTGAAAATGAAAACAGTAGACCCGGACAAAACTGGTGTCTAAATTAATAAAGCTAGGCTTAAAAATGCTTAACTTGTCTAAAGAATGCTTAAATCAGTTCTTGAATCAAATACAATTTAGAATTTTACCTTAAGGGTTGAGTAAGTAAATTTTGAAGTCATATTCATACCTTAAAATTTTTATGCAACTTTATGTCTTACATGTTTCTCATAAAAATTGATGCATATCCAAGATCAAGACTAAAAACACAAACATAAAAATCATACTTTACAAAAAAATATACTAAAGAAATCATCTCATGTTTCACTACATTTATCATTCTCTTTATACCATACTCAAGTCAATCTTGAACAATTCATGAAACATTAACCAAGCTAGCTTTATCATGATTATAGTAACTCAATTCAGTTTGAAAACAAAGCACTTACGAAAAATTTTGAAAAACATACTTTTAGCCTAAAAAGAATTTCCCTTCCCCCTCACTTAAATTGGACAATATTTTAAAACAAACTTTAAAAAGCTAGGGTAAAAGAAACACTCCTTTATCTTTGCTTTTTTTTTAGGTTGAAACTTGAATTCTTCATGGAACATCTCTTTGCATATCTTCATCCATACAAAAACACTTCAAAAATAAAAAATCAAAGCATACTTATCCTAAAAACAAAAACCAAGGAAATGTAAAACTTGAAAATGTAAAACTTAGGTTGCCTCCAAAGCAGCATTAGTTTTGGTTAAGCTTGACTATACTTAAAATCTAAAGTTACCTCATACTCTCAAAAGGGAGTTTTCCTTATTGCATTTGCTTTTGAGGTATCATATAAATTGAATTAGTTCTAAGAGGTGTACTAACTGTCTTTGCAAGGATAACATATGTTGGATTTCGATTCACTATGGGGATGTTGAGCATATGGCTAATAGGATTGGTTTTAGGCTTGCAAGGGATATGACATATTGGGCTAGTTGAATGCAGTTGAAAGATTAAATTTGACTCCTAACATTAGGTTTCTCATTAACCTTGGACACAGCTTGCATGTTCGCATCATCTCTAAGGACACCATATCCTTTAGTTATAAATTTTATCATTTTGCCCTTAAATTTTAAAGTTAGGTCATTGTTGTATACATCAATTAAAGTTTTAGATATCATAAGGACAAGTCTACCTAAAAGTAAAAAGGTTTCATTATCTTTCATATCTAAAAAAATTAAATCCATAATAAAGGTATATTCATTAACTTTCACCAAAATATTCTCTAACATTCCTCATGGTTCTTAGTATATCTATCAATAATTTTGATGCTAAATGTCGGAGGTTTTAATGTGCCACATCTCAACTACATAAAAACATTTGTAGGAATATATGACATTACAACTTCCTTGCTTTATTTCTAAGGTTTGGACTTGGTATTACTAGGTAAGGTTCTTAAGGGTTGGTTGATTATGACTTAAGCTAGTTGACCTATTTGGTTTTTAAGGATTTCAATTGATATGGCTTGGCTTTAAATGGTTGCGTTATTGGATTGCATCAATTGGGTTAACATCTCTTCAAAACTTAATTTTTTTCTTGGGGTTGGTTGTATGGTGATGGGCGAAAGTTTGTATTTTAAGTGGTGGTTTGGTGGCTTCTCCAACCTGGGTTGTAAGTGTTGTAGTTAGGCATGGATTGTTATGCAAACTAGACCGTTTCTATTCTAAATTGACATATTTTAATACTAGGTGGTTTATCACAAATTTCAGAAGAAACAAATGGGTTTTGTATAGCATGGATAGGGGCAATTTGGGAGGGGGTTTGTAAGGCATCTATTTTCTTTGAGAGGCTAGTTAACTATGAAGTATTCCTTTTGCTAAACTCTTTTAGCATCTTATCATGTGTATGCTATGTAACATAGGCAATGATCTACTTTTATATTCCATTATGCTAAACTCTTTTAGCAACTTGGCTATATTTATGGATTATAAAAGTTATGCAACTCTTTGGATTTATCTTTATAGATATTTTTCCCATTATGTGCATTGTCCCTCTTATATCCATTATAGAAATCCCTATTAGATAGTTAAATTTACTACGTATTGTTGCATAGGCACTTGGTTTCTAATGAACTATATATCATTCACATAAATCTTTATCAAAATGATTATACTTTCACTAACTTATTGTATACTCAAGATTCATCTTAATCTTTAATAATACCAAACTTTGATTATTTGTAGTAAATTTAAAAACGTGTCAATATTATATCAAATAAACAGGAGAGCATTATAGTAATTAAATGTGTTTTAATATATATTATTGATTATCTCACTTAAGTCAACGGCTATTATAAGATTACTAAAATTAGGCTAATGAAATATAAAATTATTTGTAGATAGATAATCATAAATTAACAATAAAATTATATTATGACCAAATTAAGTATTTACACAATGCTAAATTGGATCGGGCCACTACGACTTTTAGAGGGAAATTATTCCTTTCTATCTTACAGCTTTCGACTTGGATTGCTTACGTTTATCATGTTTGAAGGAAGTACGCATCTCATCCGTCTATGAGCCCTAAAGCCCTCTCCCAATGCATGTTTGATGATATTAGGCTTAATGTTGGCCCAACCCACTAATCCTCCCGCTCATCGCAAATCAACATTGAACATCCCTGCCAAAAGGCTCAAAAAGCCAAAATCTTGAATTAAATTTATCGATTCATATATTTGTATATTAAAATTAATTTATTTGTATTATATTTTATGAAAATTATAAAATATATTTTATGTTAATATAAAAATATAAAATATAATTTTTTTATTTTATTAAATTTATATATAATTGTTATTATAATTTTAAATCATATTATTTTTATATTTTATTTATTCATCGTACTTTAAATTTTCAAATTAATCTTAAATTCACCGAAAACTTGCTACCTCGCGATGGCGCTAACTTAGGGCGCCAAATCATACCTTCCGCGAAATTCACCGCCACGCTTACCTTTTTTTCATTTTTATATAGTAACTCTCCTACCTAAAACAACAATTAAAACGCCCCAAAAAGAATCTCAAATCATCCAGTTTCCTCTCAAGGTTTTCTCAAAACTAAATTGTTCGTCAAAATTCCGAACAACGGCGACTACTACACGCCAAAGCATGGTGGTTCCTCTCGCCCCGGGCAAGTTCTATGGTAGCATTCTTCCACGGCCCCGTATTTACACAGACACCAAGTTCAACCTCGAACGCGTAGACCCTCCGGTTTCAGTCCTTGATCCGCTGCTCGCATGGGCCAATGAAGCCCATTGGACAATGGGTGGTCTCAGTTTCAAGCGCCTCCGTTTCCAAGGTCGCATCGAAGGCAACGTCAAAAGACTCGCAGCCCAGCGCAAGAAGCTCCTCAAGGATAGCCCAGATAAGGATCCTAAAAACAAGAGGGATGCTTCCGTATCACCCCCTCTTGCTGCCGTGGCGTTAAAAAGGAGATTCTTGGATCTCAATGACGACGATCATGACGAGGAGGTGGAGAGTGAAAATGAAGGCGAGGAAATGTTGCTGAAGAGAGAAGAGGGGAGGGTGCTGAGGAAACGTGCGGTGAGGAAATTGGGGGATGATTTTGAGAGAGTGGCGAAGGATATCGGCGTGGTGAGCAAAAGGGATGGGAGTTTTAACGTTGGGATAGGCGGTGATGTGATGAAGATAGTACAAGAGGTTAATGCTGAGTCGGAAATTAAAAGAGATCAGAAGAAGAGGGTTGGAAAGGGCATGAAGAAGGGTAAGGGTGAGGTGCACAATGGGGCAAGGACTTCTCCAAGATTGGCAAAGCGTGGTTTTACTTCTAGATAGATAGATAGATAGATCTGAGATTCTTTTATGGTTGTATTGTTTGGTGTTCTCTGTTATGAGTAAGGTTCATCTAATTTACAGTGAATGCAGCTTTGTTTTCCATGAATACCTAAGAATTGGTGAAGTAATCAAGTTGACATTACTTGCTCTATTAGTTCATCAATGACCATGAAGATTGAAATCCTAACCTTCATATTTACAACTTGAATTGAATCAACATTCATGTGATTAGTAAAACGAAGCAACCAACAGGCTAAGCATTTGGTTGAATTTGGTCAAAGGCAGTCAAAAAGATTTACCGGATTCATTCAACCCCTGAAATTCTTCCAAATTATACAATGGGTTGGGAAATGTTATCAGTGCTGTAACCACAATTATCTGGGATTTCATTCAAACGTCCACTGAGATTCTCTAAATCATTATAGATAGCGCATGACAGCTACAGAAATTTGTGCAGCAAACTTGTATTCTAGTGCTATATTATATCTTGCACGTTATTTTTTATGGAGATGAAAAAACAAAAAATAGCACAATACCGGTGAACTTTTATATCTAGCACAAATCACCTCACAAAGAATTCAATCTTCTGATTGCACTAGCTTTAATCTCTCTTGGAACACAGTTCTTTCAAGTTTTCCTTTTCTTGACTATGTTCTTGGATTCTAGCCAATCTGCATGACTGTTCTATTGTCAGTTTGTAAATTGAAGGGCTTTCCCATGGCACAAGCCCAAAATCATCATTATACTCTTCCATCCCTTCAACAAAGAATTGCCAGACTAAAGCACCTGCCCCAGATCCTTTCTTCTTTGCAGACTTGTAGATGATATCTAAAATAGTTCTATAAAACTGCTCTCTTTGGGATGGCTGGAAGTCTTTGTTCTGGTTTGACAAGCCGTATTCAGTGAACATAACAGGCTTCTTCAGTACTTTGTCACAATCTTCAATGTGTGAATGCACCCACTTGGAAACATAATTTCGTTTTTCCTCAAATCCTAGGTCATGAAACCTACCAAAGAGGAAACAAAGAAGATTGGATTAACTACAGCGCATGCTTATTGAAGAATAAGGTAATACCACAATTCAAGAGAAAAACTGAACCTGAGGCAAATTTCTGTAACATTTTTTTCAAACTGTGGAGAACAGCCAAATGCTAAAATGTAACATTTCAATCAGAGTTCAGTTTTGAAAGGCAGGGCTGAAAGTAGGTTTCACATGTGGGCAGAGGTCATAGGCCCTCAAACTTTGTCTAATCCTCTGATTTCTACTTACGCTTGGGGGCTTGTTTAAAGATACATAAAAAGTTGTGGCCACCCAGGGTTATTTTCTTCAAAAGTCATAGTTGCATTTAGCCATCCATTTTGTCATTATCCATAAGTTTGCACCCTCAATCTTACAGAACCTGGCACCACCACTGATGACAGGCTTCATTCTGTGTCATAGAATAGATTTTTTACATGCATACTGATACAATTTCATAAATAGTCAGTCAAAATTGCTTACCAATGGTCAGGGTATATATGAACAGAGGTAAAATCAACATTTGTAATGTTGGAGTTGTGGACAAAATCAGAACCAAGGGTGGACGCCCACTCTTCTGGATTCACAGTAGACTTCTTGGGGCTTTTAGGACCGTAGAATCCTTCCAAGCCAATGGTCAATAGATGATTTTTGTCAATTGATTTTATGAAAGCTGACATCTCTTCTAACCAATCCTGCAATTGAATGCTGTATAATTAAAGTCACATTCAGATACAAATCAATAAACCTCAGAAGAAAGTAAACCCTCCCTCTCTGAGATGACTGCATATGAAATATAGAAACAGTATTCTGAATTAAAATATTTCTGATTAATGAATTTAAAGCTTTGAAAGGAAAATTTTCTCCTCCCTCAGGTTATTGAAGTAGAGAGCTTTTATAGGCCTCTGCATTTCTAGTAAAGAAGAAGATGACAATTATACGGTAAAGAAAGAGAGTTGTGTTTCAGTTTTTAGAAACTTCTTAAAGTTGAGCTTTGTTTCAAACAATGGACAAACTTTGACTGCATTCACTAGAAGAGGGAAACACTTATTCCAAATAAAGTGAGCATGAATAGCCAACCTTATTTACAAGAATTATGAAACTCACAATCACTAGCAATCAGTATATGAAAATTTCACAAGATAACATTGCATTCATCTAAGTTAAGCATAATTGGTCAAGATTGTGAGAGGTTTAGAGCAAAGTTAGAAACCAATCTACCGTCAATATTAGTGCTTAAAATAACTACTATATGATCTCTCTCTCTTTTTTTTTTTTTTTCCTTAATAGTGTAAGATCTCATAAGTCATAACTCACTTGAAGAGTATCACCAGAAGGATCAGACATGCAACGGGGTTCATTCATCAATTCCCAAGCAAAGATGGTTGGATCATTCCGATATTCAATTCCGGTGATGGTGTTCTTCCTTGTGAGGACAGTCTGGGAAAAAGAAATGGATCAGAATAAGACTTCACAGCAGCATAGAAAACAATTTTGAATTTATGATATTGCAAATATTTAAAAAGTAATCAAGCAGCTATATCTTTCCAACAAACTATATTTTTCCCCTTGAATTTGAGATCATAATGTTAGTTGGCCAATTTGTCAACCATATTCTCGTACAACCATGTTTCTAAAAGTTTCTAATGATGTTTCGTATAAACTGCATTGGCAGAAAGTAGACCCTGGGAAGACAATGTTTTCCTACTTACTAGTGGCTGGCACTAAGACAAGGAGACATCTGAAAAATATGCAGATAATCTACCAAACTGTACCATATATACTCCATCCATTAACATCACAAAAAATAACCAAGGCTAACACCTAGATCATGATTTCATATTCGTTTTTATTCTTTTGTAAGGATAAGTTGAGAGGTATAGTAGGATTCCTAGTCTACCTATCCTGTGATTTTCTCATTACATTTTCAATTGTTGATTTTCAAATTTCAGGTTATTACCGCATAAAGATATACCATATCATAATTTGCCAAACTGTATAATAAGCTGTATGAGATGCACTCAAGCTCCGGACCCCACATCAACATGAATAATACTTCGGCATTTTCAAAAGGCAAAACTTAGGCTAATAAAACTTTTGTTTTTTTTTTTTTTTGATAAAAGAAAACAAAAAGGAATTATCATCCTTCACTTCTGTCCTAAAAGAAGAAAGAACAAGGAAAGTATAACACTTCATGCAGCTTAAAAGCATGTTGTAAGCAATTTCCTTTCACTTATACATTGTTTCAGTTTTCTATCACAATCAAATTGTTGTTAGTAACTTTTGTGTTTGTCATCTACAGGTGAAACATTTGGTCCATATTGTTATAGGGCCCTATCCTCTATCCAGTAATAGTCAGTTTTAAGGATGAAAGTAATAAGCAAGTGGCTGAGACATTTACAGCATCAGGTTCCTCTTTCAAAATTAAGATTTAACAATTTCAACAGCGTAATGTCAGTACAATTACTAGCAGTTTACTGAAGAGAATAGGTACAGTCATACACATGCATCATGATGCAGGGGAAGAAAATTGTATTCAAATATAAGAAAAGAGATGATTGAAATGTAGATAACTAGATAATTGATCAGATACCATGACATAATTCTTGAAAAATTTGCGGATTGATGGATCAAAGAAGAAGGAATCATTAGAAGAGCTTAAACCAACGCCTTCTTGCCATGCCCACTTGACATACTGTGTCTTTCCACCATATGCTTGCAAGTTATTTACTAAGCTAAGAAGCAACCTAATTCCATGTTGTCTTGCTTCTGCAATGACATAATCCAAGGCCTGTGACAACCTAAACTTGTTACAATAAATAACAATAATTGGGAAAAATGTACTCTAGAATCACTAAGTGACATTAGAGAATGTGAAAGAGTCAAGGATTCAATGATTTCTGACAGGTTCTAATCAAGCAGATGAGAAACTGAAGTAATTTAAATAGCTTTTGCTTCTGTTCTCTTTCATTTCTAGCATTCTAAAATTACATTTTTAGAGAGTACAATCGTCTTTACATTCAGGACAAACCTAATTCAACCTAGCAAAAAATGTGCAATAATCTAAAGCATCTTCAGTATGCACATTGGAAATCTCTTTACTGCCTTTCTATGTCGTACACAATTACTTGGCTGTTATCATGTAAGCTTAAACAGAAAATGTTGGAAGTAAATTTAGGCAAAATAATGTAAAATCAAACACCTAGCAAAATGAAGACCTAAGTGCTAAATTTAAGCTTGCATTGAACACCCAGATTATCTAGGATTAAAATTATAAAGCTGAATAGTCATGCATAAAAAAAATGTAGATTATTTGCATTACATTAAAATTTATTAAAAAAATGTGAATCTCTCTAATACCTTGAAAACTCGCTCATCAAATTGCCGAGGAGAAATCTGGAGAGCATCATAACCTCCATCATTAAATGCCCAAGTTCTACAAACCGTAAGACCCATCTTTGCACCAGCTTGCAGCATTGCACTGACCATAGGTCTACGGTTTTCATCCACAGAATGGGCCATTAACCAGTAAGAATTCCATCCATTCACATACAATGGTTTACCATCCAGAAGGAACTGAGTCCCATTCCTTTCCACAAAACTTAACTTTGGTTCCTTAGGGAAACTACTAAGCTTCAAGTCACCAAAAGACATGTAAATAAAAGCCACACATGATGCAAATCCAAGAATTGGGTATAACAGCCCATTTCCAGCCACCATCTTTCTATATATAGTAAGGAACCTGAAAACCGATCAACAGGCAAAAATTCCAGAAAAAAAGATAGATTATTTGGGTACCTTTGGCTCTATTTCAACAAAGAAAAAGATTATTTGGGTACCCTTTGGCTCTATTTCAACAAAGAAAATTTAAGGATACCCAAATTGAGATTACAGTACCTTAAACTCAAATGTGAACGCAGATCCCTCTTCATAAGGTTACCCAGAAACACAATAAAAATGACTCCTTTTAAGACATAACAAGTTCAGTGAACGAAAGAGAGAAAGAAAGATGGATTTGAAAGTTGCTGCCTTTCTGTTTAGAATTTGGGATTTTTATACCAGAAAATGATGCAAGAAATAAGGAAGGTTGAGACCACATGAAATGAGAAAAAACTGAGAAAAAAAAAAAAGCAAAGAAAGCACACCTAACTTGTGTGCTTATGAGACTGTCAAAAATATATAGGAGGTGTGTAATATGAAGAGTGAGGGTGGAGGTGGCTGGTGGAATGTTGGTAACAGCTTGCCGGTTAAAATCAGATCTATGCACTGCACCTGATTTTCCAGTTTCCTTGAATTTTAATATAGATACTGAAACAAGTCTCTCAATTCAACACCAATGGGCCATGTGTGATGACCTCCTTGTCTCCCTCCCCAGTCAAAACCATACCAAATTAACTACTTAGGAAATATAATAATACTACTACTATGAAAATGATAGAATTAAATAAATAAATAAGAAAAAGACAAATCTCAACCCTTATTGGCCGTTGTAGCTGGCTTTTTCTTTTTCGCTTTAAATTAACATAAATTATTTCTGTGGGCTTCCATTCGGTACTGACCCATACGACACGAAAAATCTGATTAGGCAGCCTGTTAATTACAACCGACAAAAGCCATCCCATGTGAAAGCCGTACAAATTGGGATACAAGCTCGTAGACGTAACTTTCTTCTTGTTTTTTCCCTTAGGGGCAACATTCCTTTTGTAGTTGCTTCATTGACACATTAATAAGCTCTCAGTCATTTAATCAGCGTGTACTTTGAACGATTTCATAAGCAACAATGATGAAATTGTGTCAATTTGATGCCTAGGAAAACAGTTTCCTGTCTAATTAAATTTGTAGAATTGCTATTATAAAAAAAAAAAATTTGAAGAATGATAATTTGATTCATGTATGTACACAAAGTACAAACATGGCCAAAAAAGAAAAAACCCAGCGTGATGGTCTATCTGTGTTTATGCTAGGAAATCTCAAATAAGCAAAGTCTTTAATGATCCACTGTGGTATATCGATGATTGTTTAGCTTCCTGATTTACCCAACTGATCTGTCGTTGCATTCCATTGTTTGCTGTCATCAAACTTCATTCTTGTGGTACTACAACAAGAATTTAATATTTTTTCCTTAAAAATGCCAAAAAAGTAATGCTTGAAAACTCACTCCAATGAGGAAATCATACTTCTATCGAAGATCTCAACAGAACCACCGAGACAAAACATTACACTTGGCAACATGGTGAAAGAATAAAATGTTAGGATCAGTTGCCATACTATTGGTATTGTCGTTCGAAAATCACAATTTCAAAAGAATTTATGCATATAATTTTTTTTAATTAAATAAATATAAGGCTAAAAAATCAAGATTAAAAATTTCAAAAAAAAAAGTTTCCGTTTCACTTTCACATTTCTATATTAAATCAAACATTAAGTCCACTTGTCATGCACATTTTTCAAGAGAAAATTATGATATAGTGTGGTGAGTTTTTGGACATAATACTCGAAGACAAATCAATTCATAACTATAATCCTATGATTTCTTTTTAGTTGTATTTTGTGACTTAAATTGAACACGTATGAAATTTCATAGACAATTACCTGTATAAAAATCTGCTATCATTAATTCTTCAATGAAGTTACAGTGAATCAGAAATGGTGCTTGCTTTAAGTTTGAGCCATTTTCAAGGAGTAAGAGAAGTAGATACTTTGTTGTTGCTCCTGAAACAAGTGTCTTGACTGACAAAGGGAAAGAATAATTCTCCTGTTGCTCTATCGCTTTCTCATCATGATACCTGCCTATATCATGACAATATTATTTTAACTTCATAAATAAATGCCCCTATCTTATTTTTCTAAAGTGAGTTAGTAATGTAAAGTAATCATGTTTAGCTTTTTTTCAAAATTTTGTATTTATATTAATTAATTATTAACTCAGATAACTTATATGTTAATTAGATTCTTAAAGATTATCTAAAAAATCTAAACGCATAATGTCCACTTAAATGAGTTAAATAGATAGGAATTGAGAGGTCAAAAATAGATCAATAACTAAAAAAAAAAAATTCTTCTTTATTTAATAATTATTTATATATTTGTACAAACAAAAACAAATAAGGTAACTAGGGAATGGATTACGACCTTGCAACCCACATCTTCAATGTAATGACATTGTTTCAAAATAAATCATTTCAAAGTCAAAAACTATCATTAATAATCCATTCCATCATCATCCTCCCTAAGGAAGTTTCCAATATTCACTTATGGATAGTGTTTGAAGTTGAATTTAAACCTTGATAATTAAAATATGAATTTAGTATTCTATCAACATATTAGGTAACTATTGTACCAAGTTTCACCTTTTCAAACCAACACTCATTAAGTAATCAAAACAAGATATGACAATGGATCTAATATTTGAACAGGTTTTTATAGTAATATCATCAATTTGTTCAGGGAAGTAAAAAAAAAAAAAAAATTGATTTTTTTTGCTGTACAGTTAAACCATCATGAAGAAGTAGGGCATGCACATGACTCCAAAGGAATCTTTATATTTTTATGACTAAATAATTAAATCATTTTATGTTGGCATTGGAGCCATATATTTGAATGTTTTTAATTAAATGATACAGTGGGTAATAAGAACTGTACAATAAATACCGAAAACAAGTGACTGGAAGAATGATGTACACAGTTTACATTAGAAAAAAAAAGAAAGTACAAACTCAATAGAGTCTTATTGAATTAGTCAAAGGAAGTGGGTTGATTGAATTAATCTTATTGACGCTTGACCCTCTAAACTTGTCACATTAATTTAATACTTGTCACAGTCAAATATATATACTAGTGATTAAGGACAGACTCCAATTGACATTTGCTTAATTTCTTAATTGAATTTTCAATACTTAGGTCATGACATTTGCCACCACATTAAATGAAAATGAAAAAATTTTACTTAGCATGTATGCACTTCTAGTTGAAGTGGGTAACAAAACACGCCCATGTGACGGAATCACGAATCAAGATTAGAGGATAAACTATTACATAAGTCCTTGCCCCGTCATTTACAAATTCATTTAAAAATTTTTTGGCACGTTAACATTTTTAACCACATTAATTTTAACCCTAAAAAAACATTTTCCATGTTAGCGATAAAAAAACAGCAATCCCTCGAGAAAAACCTTAAATCCAAAGAAGAGATATTTGAAGGAGATCACATGATATAAAGTCTAGAGAACTATCATTGTTGCAGGTGCAAGAATTGCTCATCTAAAGTCATAATGTATAAATCCATGAATTTATTGTTAAATATAAATTAAAAGAGTCGATATCAATCTTTTTTATTTAGGTGTGATTGATTATTTAACTTAAATCTGTTATATTTTAAATAGGAGTTCTAAACTTAACTTAGATATCTTTAAATAGTAAATTTTAGTCTACAAAATCAAATTTAGGTTCAAAAATATGATTACATATAAAGAAAATTATAGCACATTTACAACGTCCATCCAAAAGATGATACCAATTTGATTTTAAGTTATCCAAGACTTAAAACATTTTTATAATTTTATCAAATAATTTAATTATTGAAAATTGATCTTAAAATTACTTTAATAATTTGATTGCAATTCGAGATGATTTCCTCATCTCAAAAGTATTCACGGAGACTAGTATTTCACTTTAAAGAGGCTTCATCATTAATGTAGACACCTATTTGTGCTGGACCCAATTTAGCTCATCGGTGTCCGGGCTCAATTAAACCCATTTGTGTCAAGGTCCAATTAAACAGGTTTTTTTATAAATTATTATTTATTTATTTATTTATTTATTTTCATTTATTTTGTTCCTTTTCTTTCTTTTCTTATTTCCTTTTTTTCATCCAATTTGCATGTGAACAATAATGGGAATTAGGATTAGAATCCCTTGGTCAAAGCTTTATTAAAGTGCTAAAATTTTGGACCAAAAATCTTGTTGGATAGAATGCAATCCCAAGATTCAAGCTTGGGATTGATTTTATCCGTTTCCTTAAATTGATCTAAAGCTACCTATAAATTGGACTAATTTTACAGAGGATACATAGAAAAATTTTGAGGAGAAGGGTCTAAAAAAATTTTGGTAGTAAAGGTTTCTAGAATTTGAAAGTTGGGATTTAGGGTTTAATTCATAGTTTTGGGCGTGATTTTATGTTTCTAGAGGTAAATTTAAGGTTGCAGAAGGTTTTGGAAAGGATTTAGAGCTTTCTGAGATTTTTGAGATTTTTTGAGATTTTTTTGTGTTTTTTTAGGTTCAGATGAGTTTTTCGATGAAGATTTGAATTTTTCGATGATTTTTTCAACGAAAGGTTGAAGTTTCTGATGAGATTCCAATGAGATTCCCAAAATCTGGCACATTTTCTAGAAACCAGTGGGTTTTTCAATTTTCGATTGAATTTTTTTGTGAAGTTTTCAAAAACAGGTGGGATTTTCAGTTTTTGGTTAAACTTTTTGGCATTGTTCTTGGGTATTTTTAGAAAAAAGGCAGACGTTTTTTGGCTAGAGAAAGAAAGTCTCTAGGATTTTTGAAAAAAAACACTGAAAGGTGGCTTTTATAATAGTCTAGCATGACATCATTTTGAACAACCCAGAATTCATACGTTGATCCGGTGATCCGCGTGTTGACCTATGCTCTAACCCATCCCGATCACAAGTTTTTCCTTTTTGATTTTATTTTTATTTTCTAATTTTATTTTATTTTATTTTTAACCCATTTTTAATTTATTTTTCTAGTTTTATTTTTCTTCTACCATTTTTATTTCTAAAAGTAAAAAAAAGAAAGAAAGAAAAATGATTTAATAAAAAAATCTTTCCAAACAAAAATAAAATATATTTTCAAATAAAAAATTTCAAAAGTCCTTTCAATAAAAATAAAAAAAATAAAAAAGATAGAAAAATCTTTTTCAAAAAAAAATTTTATCTTCTAAACTATTGGAGGATTGCTTCATATTAAGTCATACCAAACTATTGAAAGACTTTACTAAATAAAATATTTTAATAAATTCGATGACAGAGTTTCTTCAGAATGTGACACTAGTCTCTATAAATACTCTTGAAGTGAGAAAATTATTTTAAATTGCTACCATACTATTGGGATAATTTTAAAATTAATTTTTAATATTAAATTATTTGGTAAATCATAAAAATAATCAAGGCTTGAATAATTTGAAATCAAACTGGTACCATCCTTGGATAGGCGTTATAAGGGTGCTACAACCTTCCTCATACATAACCGACTCTCGAACCTAACATCTATTTTCGTAGATCAGAATATGTTTCAGGTGGCTAATCACACCTAGACAAAAAAGATTGGTGGTGACTCCTTTCATCCATGTCTAGTGATAGGTCCACAGATCTATACGTTACGACAGTTTGGTGACTCTACTGGAGAACAATGAGAGTCAAACCAGTAAATGACTTCTTATTATCCAAGCC